TGGAAGTTGAGTTGTCAGGGTTTTCTTTGCTGCCGTCCACGAACTTGCCACTTGTTCCTGCTTCCGCAGGTTGCTGACCGTTGTCGAGATGACCGGCTGCCGTTGTGCTCGCACTTTCCGTGGTGTCGTTTTCCGGAATCACAATTAAGGGCGTAGCCATGGCGATGGCACCCCGAAATTGCGACGCCGGTAAGAGTGTGAGTATGGCAGGCCGGAGGATACCCCCCGTCCTCCCAGGGGCTGAACATGGGAGCAGTCGCTGTTCCGTTGGTCGTCTTGTGGTGTCGGCGAGGGATGTCTACCTCCCAGGCTTGTGTGTTCGAGCAGTTGATCTGGCGCACGACGACAGTCAGGGAGCCACCCGATAACGTATCAAGAGAGCGGCGGTGCGAAGGTGGGATGGCGTGAAAGGCGATCTCGATTCGAACTATAGCGTCGACGCGACGACGGTTGAAGCTCCGTGCCTGCTGCCGGAAGACGATGTGTCTTTAGTATAAAAGTAAACTGGCTTTTAAGGATTCTGTATTCAATCAAGACCGAAAAAAAACGAAGAAAGAAATGCAACCCCGCGCCGCTCCAACTAATCTTATCAGGAATCCGAGAAAACGCATAGCGTAGCCCAGCACCGTAATTGTTACACTACCTGCTTACTCATAAACTAGCTGCCGAGTACGCTTTGGAGAGAAAAAAGGGGAAGAAGGTTTACAAGCTCCGCATTTGTGAACTCGTGTTTGGTTAGCTTCAAGTTTTTAATTTTATGACGTTCATTACAAAATTTTGGTCAGAATCATATAAGGTTGTTGTTTGCAGGTGAAACATTATGTTACTCGTCCCAACCTGGGAGAGATAGAAATATGCTTCCAGGAAACCCTATTTCGGGCAACCGTTTTGATCTGCTGAGCCGCCTCGGTAACTCTGAGGCGAGAGCGCTGGCCCACGGATCTTCATATGGCGGGTTCGCATCCCGGCCGAGGTGCCCGCAATCTGACGTAGGCTTATTGCGGAAAAGGCGCCGTGTAACCGAGATTTCGGTTGCTCGTCAAAAGATCCCCAGGTGGTCGAAAATAATCCCGAGTCCTCCACTGGGGCGTGCCAGATGCCCGTTATTGGTTTGGCACGTAAAACTCCCAAATTCGATTAGCAGAAATAAGAATGTACCCCTCAGAAAGAAATGTACATTATGTTTACTTCTGAACATGTTCATTTCATTACTGTGTTTACTATCATTTTTCAGCTTAAAGGGATGTTAAAGCGAAAATTGAAATATCACTATTATGTTCAAAGGTAGGCTAAATGTGACCATTAATACCCGTATATGACAATCTCACATTTGTATATTGAGTGGATGGGTATAATTTTCATTCTAAATGGCCTTCTCTAGCAAGCGCTCGAAATGCAGCCACGGAGAGCGCAATCCGTCTTGGGATATTTGACGCCTTCGCGACATCATCCCATACAGCACGGGCAAGGCTACGGGAAGGCTCGTGTAATTATCAGTTTTGCCACTCAATGGCGCCAGCCCTCACCAGCCGCGCGCACAGCACTGATGGACTTCTCGCCCACACTGCCGCGGCCGCACAGTCAGATCGAAACACTTCATCGCCCTGGTGCTCTTTTTGCAATCCTCATCACAAAAGTGATCACAGCGCAAGTGATTATTTGTTGCCGGAACCCCCAAAAACGACGGATGTGCGAGACACACCCATCGCTCGGAAATTGACGCGTCGAAAGCTTGCGATGCGGCACGCTGTTACTAAAGTCCTCTGCCACACAACAGCGCGGCATCTCGGCGTTCTACAGAAGCTCTTCACTTCTGAAGCTTCCAACAAATTAAATACCACACCGAAGCAGACTACCGATTGGCCATTGGGTCAGCCGTGGCAATAAACCTAACGGGTTCATGGTGGTCAGCTCTGTTTTTGTTTTCTCGGAAAAAACTTCGCGTTCAGGCATTTGGGACTTCCACGGGTACACGCATACTCTCACAAAGCGGCACTGCGCATATGTTAGAGGTGATTCCATGACTACAGTGTTTGTAGTCACGGCATACAACACTGTTTTGGAAACCTCGACCATGTGCACTTTGGTAATCGTTTAGCTCGTTTTAGCATTCCTTATCTTGTCGTTTTCAACAAAACATTCGTCTTTCCGCGCTGATGTCATTGCCTAGACGACATTTAAACAATAAGAAAGGCGCTAGAATTTCATTTCCGTACCCCTTTAAACATGAGATGAAGGAATATGTGGTCCTCTCTCCTATTTCATGCTGTCCTTGAATGCCACAGTGGTTTCAGCGTGGCTGTAATTATATTTGCTTTTAACTGTTTCTCTTCCAGCTGCAGTAAACAGGAGGTTTACACAATCAACAAAGGATGATGTGGAAGTTGCAAGAAAATCATTGCTCTGACATGCTCCAAAACAAGAATATGGAAAGCAGCCTAAGAATTTCGTTGTACTTCTCGTCTAAATTAAACTCAAGCCGCGCAACAATAGTGGCATCACAACTTACAAAACAGGACCCAGTGACCCAGATGACCCAGTTTCGTGTTATCGTACTGACCACGACCAAATCTGCCGTCATTGTAACTTCGGACGCTTGCCAAGTGAAAAAACAGGTAGATTCTAAACAGACTTGTGTCCGTTTCTTGAAAAATGAAATTGATTACAATTACAAATCTCCGAGCCTCAAATGCAATGAATTACCGTTTCAAATTACTGTCGCTGAAAAGTAACGAAATACGTCCCTCGTTACGTTACTAATTAATTCCATGCTACTTTTTCAGCACACTTACCAAGACAACAATAGAAACAATTCTGATGTTTTCCAAATTGTTCTGCAACACTACTTTTCATTCCTTATGCCACCCCATATGGTAGTCCTGGTAAATATAAAATATTGAATTTAAGAGAAAGTACGTGGGCGCCCTCCGCCTGTAAGCTGGCAAGGAGGCGAAAGTTGCAACCGCACCCGCTATCCCTCTAGGTTACGCGACCAGAAGTGATCCCTGGAATTATGCAGACCAAGATAGCGGTGCGCATGCGCAGTAGCACCATCTACCTCCGCTAGGAGATCACGAAGACAACGCCAACTCAGCGTTGTCTTCTGGATCTTTGCTTTTTCGCATATTTCTATATACCTTGCACGTTTTTCACGTGGTTTTGTGAGCGGTCATAGAAATAATTGTGATTTATTTTCGGGTATCCTCGCCTTCACGATGTTTTCTATTTTGTTTATCTTTCTATCTATAGTCTGCTGAATTGCCTAATAATGTTGCTCTAATTTCTGTATTATGTAGATTTTTCAAGAAAGTAAGCAGTAATTAAGGTAATCCATTACCAAAACTTGTAACGAAATTACGTTTTAAATTACCGTCGCAAAAAAGTAACGTAGCAGTTACAGCATTACTTGAAAAAGTAATGAATTACAAATAACCCGTTAGTAGTCACGAATTATTTCCAAAGTATGATCCTGCAACAACATACTTCCTGGGGCGAGATTTTTTTTTTCAGCTTGTCGGAAACAAGCAGAGCAAAAAAAAGTCAATCGCAGGATGGCCGACCAAGGGTTGAACTTGGCACTCCGATCGCAGGGTTTTTTTTTTTTTTCTTTCGCAGTTTGCTCGCGAGGTTTCAGAAAGTCACGAAAAGTTAAGCGTACGTACCACATGATGCGAGGGTAATCCCTAGAGTGTTTGTTCGAGCTATACGTCAAAGAAGGCAGCAAATACAATTGACGACTTGTCACTGCGACGAGAGCGTCCGCCACCACCATACAACGCTCCGAACATTACAAGCAGACGGCGAAGACATAAGACTCCCTTCTAACCGGAAGATCTAGTTCAACTTTCAAACAATTCATACGAAGTGGGACCCCTTAAAAAAAAGAAGTGCGGGGGGAGGGGGAAGGTGTTTTGCGAACATATCAATTGAACGAGGCCGCTGGTCGTAGGCAGAGAATGACGAGCGCCGTGCTAGACCTTCCGACCCACCACGCTAGGCTTTCCCACCGACTTGAGGGGCCGCTCAAGTCGGTCGGATTATTTTCGTAGCTTTCGAAATCCGTGAATGGAGCGACCTTCAGCTAAAATCCTAGTTTCGAGTACGCATTTTCTTTTGCTTGCTGCTTGAAAACGGTAAGCGCGCGAAGAGCACGTAGAAAGAAGTACGCTCGTTGTTCCCCACGGCGAAGAATTCGATTGGTGCTGGCGGCCATGAAACTATTGTAAGATTCCACCGTAACTTACGCGCAACTTCCGATCGTTTCGCTTGGTGAATTCATATTTTTTTTTAGGTATTGTCCTACGCTTGTTTTGTGTGTAAGCAAAATGAAATACACTTACCGAACAGTTTCTGCTGCTACGCGCTAAAGCACACCACCAAAGCAAAGCAAAGCAGTGAAGCTACCTGGCCTCGTCACGTGATACCGGCCACTTGCGTCATCACTGAGCGATCGCAGAACTCCAATCGGTCCCGCTCGGGCCTAATACTCATCAAACAACTCAAACACCAAGCTTTTTTTTTTTTTTTTACTTTTTGCGTTGTTATTTAACACTTTCCCGAAACTAAGACCTGTACGAAGATAATGTAATAAGGCAGACGAGCTGCTTAACGTTAAACAATCCTAAAACCCATGACGGAGGCTACAAAGAGGGGAGAAATACAAGACGTCGCAAGTACGTTTTGTTTTGTGACGTCAGCTAGGTCAGTGCTTACCGTGAAAGTAGGGACTCTAAACTCGTCAAACACAAAGTTGGCGCCAAGTTTGACGGAGCGCATCGATTGGCCTATCACGACGATGACTTGGCGCTTTTTTCGCCGACGTCTAATCGGCGCGCTCCGCGAACTTTCGGCCCGAACTTTGTGTCGGACGAGTTTATGGTCCTAGAACTCTGTCAGTGTAGCAAACATCTAAAGATGTTGTATATTTACTCACACAAATAAAAATGAAAAAGATTGAGGCAAGGTTTTATTAATTCATTAAAATAATCTTACATGCACTTTTATGCAGAGCATTTTTCAATTTTATTATTTTTTTTACTTCCTCTGCTTGGAGTAGGCACGGGTGTTTCACGTTTTTGTTCGACGAACGAGCCGTTTATTGCTATCCATTGCATTAACTGAAAAAAATAATAAATATTGATTGGTTTTATTGCACGCATATATTACGATTTAGTTAACATTATTCCAAATCCTTTCACTCGTAATATAAGTATAACTGCCCAATAACATTCTGCTACGGCGTCTAGAATATTTATTGTTTTGAAGTTCTAGAATGATATAATGTTGCTGACAAGGTTTGTCTTAAATAACAGCATTCACAATCTGGTTCAACTAAGGATTATCGCGGTGCGGTCTATTTCAATCTGACTGCTGTTATTTCAATGATTGTCTCTAATTGGTCGTAAAGATACTGGTTTAGCCAAAGAGAAAAAAGTCTGCCTCTATTAGTGTTTAAAAAAACAATTTTTAGTAGAAATGAGAAGGAATTGATATAACATTAAGCTCTTCTAGGTGCGTGGACTTCAGTGAATTAAAATGGCTTTATCATATTTGCAGCTAGTAGCAGGCTCACTAATCGGCACTTCAGTAAGAGTAAAACTCTTACCGAAGTGCCGATTAATTCGCATTAAAACTCAACATTTTTAAAAGAAATTTTCTCACGGAATACTCAGCCAGACATTGCCGGAGTATATCGACGAGAGGGCGTGCGGAGCATATTGTCACGAATGACAGGCAGAACGCGTGTTAGTGCAGTAGAAAACTACACGTTTAATAAAAACGAACTTGTGCCCCCCTCAAAAATGAGAAAAGGTAGCGTCGTTGGCGTCGAAATTCGGCGGAGTAGCACGGTCGAGCGCAAGAGCGAGGCAGACTCCGGACCGCCACGTTGAGCGCCTTTTGTGCCCGCGTGGGTGTCTGGAACACTCGGTGTAGAACGTTCGGCGCGCAGAACATTTGTATCGCAATCAGACGGCAACGTTCTCGAACATATGAGAATGTCAAGTTGAAAAAATTAATAAAGAGGAGTTCGCTCCCTAGAAACGAACCAGGAGCCACCGCGCGATGGCCAAGCGCATTAACCATTCGGCCACGCACGCGCTCGCTCGACGGCGCGCGAGGCAATATGTAAGAAGCATAAGCGGAAAGCAGCAAAACGTGTGAGGGCTGGGAGAAACACCTCTGGACATATAAGGAACATTATTGTTTAAGCATAAGTAGTTTGGTGTGCGTACTGTGTACAAGCAACACTTTGTTTTGTAAGAATAAAATTTAAAGTTGAAAATTGTAAATGCTTTAAGAACTAAAAAGAACTACAAGAAAAAAAAAACGGGGAGGGATTTTAGAGGCCACAACGGATATCAAATCAAATGAAACTTTCCGTGTTTAGAAATCGCAAGGTCCTTTAGGGTTGGAAACACTAGCATACCGTTTCTCCCTTTCTTTTTTCTTGTCTCCGTTTTTTTTTTTTTTTTTTTTTTTAAGTATCAACGTTCACCAGCTAGCCTGAGCCGCAACCGTTATTTCTGTGGCAACTCTAGTTCACGATGTGGATGTGACTTCAGCTTGCAAAGTACGACTGCTATACTCCCCGGCTGCTTAAAGAGACGCAGGGCGTGGCATGTCCCGATCTTTCTGTAATCGCTCAGTAGAGAGTGCCGATACGATCACCGAAAACGAATTACAAAGCAAGAAGCCTGTCGGTGATTATAAGTCGGGTTATTTAATTAACGTGCATGCACTGCAGCATGTACTTACACGAACATAAGTTGGTAAGTTGCACAAATAAAAGAAGTGAGTGAGTGAAAACAGTTATTTATTTGTATTATAGGATCAGATCCCTTGGCCGAGCTATCCAGAGGCAATACGGGTAGGGTTGGCCGGGTGGATCCTGTTTCCACCCATTCCCAATTCAACATTCCGTTTGTACCTTCCATTTGGACCTGTCTCAAGACGACCTTCTCGTTTCATCTTTTCCACTTTTCTCCTTATCCCGAAACAACTTTCCCGCTTCGGCCATCGTTCTTTATCAGTTGGGTCGGTTTGTTTGCATTGTTTGTTAACAGCTAATTAGGTTCAAATGCCCAGTGTCTCTCCTCCTTGCTCAACTCACTTCTTCGTATCCCGAAATCAACTTGCAGACCTGGCACGGTAAGGTAAACGCTGTGTCAGGGAGGGCTCACTTGAACATTTACAGCTTCATCGATCTGATCAAACAAGATGAGGTCTTGACAAGGATACCTCTGCAACAGCTTGCAAATGGTGGTGCCATGCGGGCCAGAGGACAGCCGCAAACTATCAAAATTGGAGTGTCGCCTTTCTGATGGCGCGATTTTGCTACCGGACTTTCTCAACCATGGCGATAGCACTTTGTGGTTTATGATTTTTTCCTTTGTGCGCCAGGGTTTTGTGTTTGGACTCGTAAGGAAATGAAGTCGCAATCATACATCTAGCCTGTATGATTTGTCACTCTTCAAAATATCTCGTTCACTATAAGGAAGTTTTAGAACGTACGCAAACGCTTTGTGTAACCTAAAAATAGCGTCGCAATATAAAACCTAAGGCAACCCTAATTTTTGAATCCTCAAAGTGATATGCCTATGTTATGGCATGTTACCTGAAGATACACGAGCCCTTGAGGCTTACACCGGCTCATCATTGTACGCTTTGAAAATGTATCTATCGGAAATAAAACTATTCTATTCTTTTCTAAGATTTCATTATTGTACAGAGCGTGATACTGTTAGCGCGAACAAGCGATTGTTGGCTTTCGCTGCTTGTCTCAAAGAATCAAAAGACTGCCATCAATATTATTAGTCTTTGAAAGTGCTCACCTGTGCCATTAACATAAGCGGTACAATTTGGCACCTTCTAATACCATTTGAAAGTAAAATTCGAAAAATTGTCAACATCGTGTTCGCGTAAACGTTTACGCGCAGTGTATATAGTCCGTTTCGTATTTGCACATTTTGGGGGAAACTTGAAAAAAAAAAACATTTTAAGTACTTTCAGCAGATATATATTTTGTTGAAGCTTGTCTGACAGTGTTGTATATTTTAAGAGTACATTGATAAGCAAAATATTTCACAACATAACTAGGTAGCTCGCTTGTACCTTCGCAATAATTGCATTAACATCATTTCGGGGACATATTCTTAAGCAGAAAAGTTGCGCACAGCAGGGTTAGAACGATGGAGAATTTTTGCGAATCGGTTAGATGAGCGGGGCTTTATACCAATGGGTTTAAATGCGACGGGCTCGAACGTAAAGTGTCTTTCTGTTACTAGTTCAAATAAAAAGGGCGTCTCGGGAACGGGTTGAAACGAAACATTTCCATATAGGACGGGAGATTCGGGAATGGGTCGAAACGGGACAGGTTCAAACTGGAAAGTCATTTCGGGAATGGGTCAAAACGGGATGGGTTAAAATGGGAATGGGTGGTTTCGGGCTACATCCGGTCTGCCAGATGTCCCGTGTTTTGTAGGGCGAGCTTCAGCTTCACATGCTCCTAGCTATGGGGCGCTAACACACTCGGCCACCGATCTCCCTAACGTGGACAATAATTACATGTGCCACGCAGCCGCCCTCTTATGGTTTTGGAATGCACTGGGTGTTTTATTTTAATTCGAGCAGTTTTTTCTTAATTTTTTTAAAAACGGGGTGAAGGTTAGTCAAGTTATGTTTTTAACATCTATTTATTATCCTCAGCGGACATTAGTAGATTTGATAATCATCATGCTAAGTTCACTTATTAACGCCATTGTGTTGATTAGCTTTTTAAATATTGGTTGTAGGGGTCACATTGGAATTGCTGAATTGCAAGGGTGTCTACCCCACAAATCATTCTAACCAGAGCTCAATGTTTGACGTCCCCGCGCGCTCTGGTCTCCTCCTCTCTTTCTTTTTCCGCCCGCATGCGTGGGAGCTCCTTCTGACCGCGCCCAGTGAACAGTGGTGCACTTAAATATGGCGTCCATCGAATACCGCCTAAACAGAATTTTAGTTGAACATACGCAGCGGTCTAAGTAGCTTCACTGCATTAGCTTTAAGTTTTCAGGTCGACGAAGACTAGAAAATTAAAACTAAGCGTGCCCAGTGAACAGTGTACTTATATGGGCACCTTGCGTCCGCTAGGAGCCGCTACCGATTGCACAGCGAGCAGCGCCGCGCGGCCGCTTTTGAGTCAGCGTAGGGAAAGCGGTAGAGCTCCCCCGCCGCTCACGCTGCTTCCGCGCTTTCGCCAATGTGGTAGCCCAAGCAGGCATGCCGACCTTGCAACACCCACCGGTGTACCACTGCGATCGAGTTGCGACTGCCGAGGTCCCTTCCCGACGAGTGCGCGCGACGCCGCTGCGTGAGGCGCGCGTATTAGCACTGAGTTCGATCTGCAGGCTGCCCATTGTGCCCCGCAGGGCCAAGCAAGCACAGCTGGGTCACGGACTTCTATTAGATTCGCGTTTATTCTTACTCGGGACGTAACTTTTATAATTTCGTCCCACATTATTGTTCTCGAAAGTGCCTGTTCATTTTCACCTGAAACGCTCGACGCTCGAACCTTCTAGGCCGATTTGTTTGGATGGTGACGCACACCGGATAACGAGCTGCTCGGGATCTTGTCGAGTCAGTCTCGCTGTCTGCTTGCTGTTACGCCGCCAAATCGCGCCGCCCACTTTTCTGCTGTCTCGGCGCTCGTTCTTTATTTTGTTCTGGACAAGTTCGCCCATTAAGCTTTCAGTTGAAGTAGGATTTTCGCCGCTTCTCCTCTTGTCATCCGTGACAACGTGGCGTCCAGTGAATATCACCTATGAAGTGTTTTAGTTGAGGATACGTGGAGGACTGAGTAGATATATATTCCGTTCCCTTTTGGCTTTTAGGTCGACGAAGATTGGAAACGTGAGCTAGAACTTGGACGCATTCCGTGCCTTGAAATCTGCTCTTCTATCGCAAGCGCTCATACAGCGAAACCATGTCTCAAAGTCGTGAGTTCTACACGCACCAGAAAAGCTTGCAACAAACGCAAAAGTAAAGTTCTTCATGAGCAAAGCCAGTCAGACATTAGCGTCATCTTTACACCGTAAGCCCCCCCCCCCCCCCCCCCCAAGAAAAAAAAACACAAAGAAAACACCAAGAAACGTAAATTTTAAACATTACGTTTCTCTCTTTAGGACTTGCCCCATTTTCTTTTTGTCTCGAACAGCGAACTCCTATAAGGAACTTTAGAACACTGTAAGGCGTTCACAATGTGCGTTCGAAAACCTTGGAAGTGCATTCCACTTAAGACCGGAGCGTAGTTGATCGAATTGATGGCCCGCTTCTGTTTACTATATCCCTAAGAAAGGCAACTGCCAAATGCAGCGCAAAGCGTGACCAGTGCACCGCCGATTGCAGCAGTGGGTATACTAGAGTAAGTAAACGTGTAAGTTATCAAGAAGTATTTATTTGACATATTTCCGTCACATACAAAGTAAACGTGAGGACTTTGTTTTTATTTTTGATATTTCACGAAAGTACAAAAAAAACGTCAGAATGGCAAGAAAAAATTTATTTGAATAACTTTTATCAATTCGTTCTAATTAACCCGTTTTGGAGTAATTAAGCAGAGATTTAGTATTTTAGAATTTATCCTATTCGTGAAGTAATGGTAATTGCTCTAACAATTGAAAGACTTGAGTTCTGAATTTAACTTTGATATTTTTTTTTATCAAGTATCATATCGTACCGAGAGGCATGAAACTGATACTTACTTTTTCATTTAAAGTTATCGTGTAACCTAGGAAGCATACTGCGAACTCTTCCTTGTTTACGAGCTCTGTAATCTTTGAGACAAACGTCTCAGTCGATGTTCCGTTCTCATCGAACGGCTGAAGGATTCTCAGGTACACTATTTTCTCAGATATCTTCTCGGGTCTCAGCAACTAAAAATATAGGAGAACAAAATGTCATAAAGAGTGCGTGTTTATAAATCAATGAGCCTCTCAATTAAGAAGACATCCCGCATTGACGACTAAATAAAATATACCCGATATGTATCGAAATCCACTATGCTGCTTGATCTCCTAGGGGTCAGCACAACATTAAGCGTTCCCTACAAAAATTATAATTTAATTACGAAATAAACTCTGCGAAAGACTATACAGGGTATTTCTCAAAACCTGAGCCAAATCGTTCCTCCAAAATGTACGCATCCCACAGAAAAACGGGTAATCTTGTATTGGTCTCTTGCCAAAGGGCCCATCTGGGAAAATAATAACGGTGGGCAGAATTATTTTATTAATTACTGTCGAAAATTTAACTTTTTAATGCGTGAATGTATATCTATGTTTTAATTAGAAACTTGCTCAGGATCGTCGAAAGTCACTAAATCAACTCTGTGTTTTCTTCTGACTCGACACGTTCCTTTTTGAATTTCGCGGAAGAAAGAGAAGGGGAGGAGGAGGCACCCCCCCCTTTTAAGTGTTCCCGCGTACACAGATGCCTCGCCTTGATTTTTTACCGAAATCGACCGTCTTCGCGTGAGCTTTTAAGCGGGATTATACGGTCACGGGTCAACGCTTTCAGCGCGCACGCAGCGTTCTTTTTGCCCACAAAGTTGTTGTGTATCATCGCAACTCTCGCCAGCGATTGTGTCCGCGCCGTCTTGGGTGGTAACTCTAAAAGCGTCGTTTCAGGAAAGCCAAATGAAGCTGCTCCGATTCAGACTGGGCGAGTTAGAAGGGGTGCCATCGTTTGCACAAGGAAAAGAGTCGGGAAGCTTGTAGAAAATGTTTTAATCAAGATATGCTGTAATTTCTCTTGGATAACCCAATACAATTTTGGAATGTGGTTAATCTTAAAGTCAATTCCGCGCTTCACTAAACTTATAACGGGAAAATTGTATCTGAGGAAGGGTGTGCTTCGCTGTTAAATACGAATTTTGGTTCTGTGCTTGCACAGGAACCACAGGGGGCACTTCCCCCCTTGCCGACGTATATAAACAATAACATGCCTAACGTAAACATTACACCGTTATGTGTTCTTAACTTTATTAACAGCTTTAAACTTTCTACATACGCTGGGGAAGACGGCATTAGCTGGAAATTATTGGCATGTACTAGAGACGATAGCTGTGTCTTATCATCTGAAATAGTTTCACAGTTATTAATAGAGGATAGGCTGCCAGTTGAGCGGAAAATCGGGCGGGTCGTTTCTGTCCCTTCAAGGGTGGTGATAAATTATCTGCTAATGACTACAGGTCAATATCTATAACCAGTGTCTCATGTAAATTACTTGAACACATAATCTATTCTAACCTTGTTACTTTTCTTGAGAACAATAATTTATTTTCACCTCATCAACATGGCTTTAGAAAAGGACTGTCCTGTGAGACACCCCTAGCTGTTTTTTTACATAATATGCGCACTAATTTGGACAGCAATCAAGTTACTGGTGATATTTTTCTTGACTTTTCTGAGGCCTTTGGTCGCGTTCCTCGTCAGCTTTTTGTCTCAAAAATATCTGCACTAAATACTGAACCGCATGTATTAAAATGGATTAAAGACTTTTTACGTAACAGAACTCTGTACACTAACGCAAACAACCATCGTTTAAATCCTGTTCCCGTCACTTCCGGTATTCCTTAGGGTAGTGAGCTGGGTGCGCTTCTTCTTCCTATCTACAGGGTGATTCAAGGAGAGGCCAGGCTCTTTAAATCAACCGCAAAATTCGGTTTCTTAGCTTATGCGCTACGACTTTGTGCAGCGTTGCCCACAAATGTTTTTTTTTTTTTTTTTTGTAAAATTTGCAAAGAACGAATTTACCCGAGGAAAAAGTAAAGAAAGAAAAAGGCTTAGCTCCTATGGAAAGGCAGCGAAGCCACCGGTCTTTAGACAAGAGGCCTTCGTATTGTATGAAAACCGGTGGTTTCACTGAATTTTCATAGGAGCTAAGCCTTTTTCTTTCTTTACTTTGTCCTCAGGTAAGTTCGCTCTTTGCAAATTGCAACCAAGAAAAAAAGCACCATCTGTGGGAAACGCTTCACAAAGTCGTAGCGTGACAGGTTAAGAAACCGAATTTTGCGGTCGATTTAAAGATCCTGGCCTCTCCTTGAATCACCCTGTATATAAACGATTTACCTAACTCCTTGACCTCTCGAATTCATCGTTTCGGCGTTGACTGCGTTAGTTATCGTCGGATTAGTAACCCACCAGATTGTACTGCCCTTCAAGATGACTTACTAAATATCACCTTTAGGTGTACTAACTGGATCATAAGTTTAAACACTTCTAAATGCGAGCACGTTCGTTTCGTTCGCCCTAGTAATTCTCGTTTGTACCCTAATCAACATCATATCCAAAATACCCCGTTAGATCTAGTTCAATCTCACAAATACCTAGGAGTTCACCTATCCTCCTATCTATGATGAAACATGCATATTAATTACATTATTTCAAGAGCTAACCGTAGTCTCGGTCATTTAAAACGTAATCTTAATTATGCCCCATTATATCTTAAACGACTAACATACGTCAGGCTTGTTCGACCGATACTGGAATGCGGTTGCAGCATTTGGAACCCTCATTATCATTACTGGTCTGCCTCACTGGAAGCACCTCAAAACAAAGCCCGTTCGCTTCATTTTTTCTGATTACTCACGTCATACCAGTGTAACTGACCTTAAAACTCGTGCTGCCCTTCATTCACTTCTGGTACGCCGCAGGCTATCGCAGCTGTGTCTTCTGCATAAAATTTACTGCTCGCCATCACTTCACTCATCACTTCTCTTTTAACCGTTATATGTTTCATGTAAGATTAACTCATGTAAGATTAAACTAATCTCTTGTAAGTCATTCTTGTTGTTCTGCTGGTTTTTGCCATCCGCCATTGCTGACTGGAACGACCTGCCTGATAACACTGTTTCTCGAAGTATTCATGTTCTTTTTCGGCAAGATGTAACTATCTTTTAGAGCGCAGCTCTTAGGCGCCCGTTTCCGGCTTGAGTGGCGTCGGCGTCGCCGTCGCCGTCGGCGTCACCGTGAGGTAACATGACCCCCCCGACCTCATGAGGGTCCCATGGCCTCACGGCGGTCAGGTGACCTCACGGGGCTCACGTGACCTCACAAGGGTCACGTGTACGTTAGGGGCGTAAAGCTTGGCTGGATATGCAACGCAGTTTCCAATATGCATTACGGTTTTTCCTCAATCGATAAAATGTCAACCTGCCAAAATATTTGTTCTGATTCTATATTTTAGAGCACAACTCTTAGGAGGCCGTTTCCGGCTTGAGCGGCGAGGAAGAGGGGAGGAGGAGGAATAAGGAGGAGGAAAGGAGGGAGGGAGAGGAGGGATGAGGATGAAAAGAGGGGAGGAGCTTGAATAATGAGGGGAGGAGGAGGAGGAGGGGAGGAGGAGGAAGAGGAGCGAGGAGGGGAGGTGAAGCAGGGAGGAGGAGGAGGTGAAGAGGAGGGACGAGGGGTATACCTTCCCCTCAGTACCCGCCCCCCCTTCTCCTCAAGAGCTGCGCTCTAATGCGACTTTACAGGGGGTTGTATACGTCTTTCATTTTTTGGGGTCTTTGATTAATGTGTACTTAAGTGGGGTGTATTTTGTTGTGTTTTTTGTGCTCACTAATTTCGATTTATACTGCACTGCACCCCCCCCCCCCCCTTCCCTCCCCTTATACAACGCCACTTGAGGGTGTGTAAGGTTTTTAAATAAATATATCAAGGAAGGGGGGGGGGGAAGCCTAACGAAGATTTGACATCTGTCATTTCCGATTTGGCCGGAGCTCTCAACATATCTGAATTCAAAACTGCTGATATTTCAACTGTTCATCGTTTACCGAGCCGGGGAGACTCTATCCCACCTGTCATTGTGCAAATGCACAATGTTACGGCCAAAGAAAAATGGCTTAGTGCTCGAAGGCTCCTGCCTAGACTGGTCCAGGATGGTTTGTTGCCTCGGCTCTACTTTAACGACAACTTATCGAGGGCCAACCGAGAGCTTTTCCGGTTGGCCAGATCAAAAGGTAAAGAGAAAAATTTCAGATTTGTCTGGACAAGAGACGGCAAGGTGTTGGCCAAAAAATCTGAAGGCGCACCTCTTATTCGTGTTCAGAAGATGTCCGATCTGGAAAGAATTGTCTGAGCATGAACTCTGTTTTTTTCCGTACTTGTGATACATTTCAGGAAGTTCATAGCTTTTTTACAAGTTCCCAAGGACATGCTTTCCGAGTAGCTCACGTTAATATTCGCAGTATCCGGAAATACTGGGACCATTTTTTTTCTTTAACTTCCCCTTTTCATGGCTTTTTTGATGCTTTAGTGCTTACTGAAATTAATATTCCTTCTGATTGCATCGCAGGGTATTCAATACCAGGCTACCAAACTTTTTCTTTTACTCGGCCGACGGGGAAAGGAGGGGGGGTGGCAGTATTTGTAAGAGATATATGGTCTGTGTCTGAGCTAGGTTTTTGTTTCCACCAAGCGGAAGCAGTAGTATTACGGTTAAGTACACCTGAATTATCGTTAGTTTTGCTGTCGGTTTACCGGCCTCCATGTTTCAATGGGCGTTTATTTTTGGCTGAGCTTGATTCAGTGCTGACTTCACTCTCTTATGAAGATCTTGTCTGTATGATAGGGGATATTAAAATTAACACACTTCGCCCTACTTTAGCAGTAGTCGGGGACTATCTTGATGTTCTATCTAAATGGGGACTGCAAAATACAATTCGCGAGCCTACCCTTGAAGAGTTTTTATCGGGGCAGCTAACCGTATCTTGCATCGACCACGTAAATATTCGGGCCCTAAACTTAGCTACTCAGTCAGCGATTGTGGAAAAAAAACTTGCTGATCATTATTTTGTTTGTTGCTCGATAATGAAGCAATCTGATCTACCGGCCTCAGCCACGGATAAGAGGGAAGTTTCAATAGTTGACCCCCTAATTTTTGATAAACTTGTTGCGCAGCATGACTGGAACACTTTTTTGCTTACTGTCTCGTCTGCTGACAGTTATGAACAGCTTGTTACCCAACTAAACCGTTTTAGGCAAGCAGCTACGCGCATTGTAAAAATCAAGCAACGGAACTTAAACCACAAATGGATGTCTTCTGAAATTTTGGCTGCAATTAAGGAAAAGGACCTTCTATGGTCTCAGTTAAAGCGCTCTCCCAGGTGCACCGAGTTGCAACTAAAATACAAGATGTGTAGAAATAGGGCCAATGCAATGATTCGTCGCGCTAAACGATTTTACCTTCGTAGCAAATTTAACGAGGCTCGTACCGACCCCAAAAAAACATGGTCGTTAATCAATGATGTTAGAGGAACAAACACAAAGGCTACAAGCCATAGCAATTATCGCTCCCTTTTATCATCAGGGGGACAGAGTATCGCCAATGATTTTAACCATCTTTTTTCTAAAGTATCGGGTACCGCGAGGCAACACACGAACTCGTGTACATTACTCAATAGCGTTTTGGAATCTGCTTATTTACCCTCCTTGGACGAAGATGAGCTTAAAACCGTTCTTTTCAGTTTAAAATCTAATAAGTCCCCGGGTATTGACGGAATTTCAATCAATGAATTACGTAGGTCGTTCGAAGTCCTCAAAACTGTTTTACTATCAATTTTAAACGGTATCATTTATAGTGGAGTCATTCCCTTAAAATTGAAAACGGCAATCGTTATCCCGCTTTTCAAAGCTGGAGCGCGAAATAATATTGAAAATTATCGTCCGATTTCAATTTTACCTTGTATTGCTCAGCTGTTAGAAAAACACTTGTGCTTGGTCATGCCACGCTTTTTGGATAAGCATCGTATTATGTCGCCCTCTCAGTACTGTTTCGTGCAAGGTCGAGGCACTCAAATGTTACTTGAAGATTTTTCTGATTTGCTGAACTCGTCGTTTGAGCGGAATCAAGTCGCGTGCGCGTTATTTCTAGACGTCAGTAAGGCATTCGATAGTGTATGTCACCGTCTGTTGCTAAATAAGCTGTCAATGGTGGGATTTCGCGGTTCCTTTTTATTGCTGTTACAAATTTTCTTCAGGATAGGCGCCAATGTGTTTCGATTGAACAATTTCGAAGTAACTTCTCGATAATTAAAGCTGGTGTTCCGCAGGGTTCAGTACTTAGTCCTTTATTATTTAATATTTATGTGAACGATCTTTCTAATACCGTGCCCACTTCAATATTTCAATATGCGGACGATACTGTAATTGTAGCCTGCGCTTCTAAGTATTTGCACGCAATCTCTTTGCTTCAAAATGCGGCAAATAGGGCAATGGACTGGTTTGATGCAAATTTAATCTCTATTAATACGACAAAAACTCAACTAATTTGTTTTCATAGCCCATTAAAACGAGTCAGTCTCACTTCTCCGCTTTTTTTGCACACGTCTAATTGTCTTAATTGCGCGTGTACCCCTGTGAATTACACATCTACAGTTAAATATCTTGGTTTGATTTTTGATAGCGATCTTGCCTGGAATTCACAGCTCGCTCATATCTGTAAGAAGCTTCGCGCGGTGTCTTGTTTGATGTACAGTGTTAGATACGTTATGCCATTATCCGTTCGTAAGGTTATCATTCATGCCCTGGGCTATAGTGTGCTTCGTTATGGTATAACTGTGTACGGCCACTGTGCCCTTCGATGGAAAATAAGAATCAATTCAATTTTGCGTTCTTTGTTAAAAGTTATTTCTTATGATTTAAGTCTTGATAAAGATACTGACGTATTTAGAGCATTATGTTTTCCGGATTTCGACTCTCTGTTGATAGAAACTGTAGTTTTCCGTCATTTCTAGAATAGTTCTTTTAAAGTACCTTATGCCCCAGCCCGTTGCCTAAGGCCAAAAAAACGTTACTGTATACCTCGGTGCAGCACAAGATATGGCGAACGCATGCGCCGTTACTATGTTCCCTCGTATTTTAACAAGCTTCCTATGAGTATTTTTTCTGCTAGTACAAAATACAAACTGAAAAAAGCGCTCAGAAATAGAATTGTATAAAGATTTCTTTTCTGTGTGTGTCATAGCTTGACTTATCTATGTGGGGTTTTTGTGTTTTACTGTCATTGCTTTATTTTGTCACTGCCTGCCAGGCACTACCTTTCAACCCCGATGAGGCTTCGGTAGGCCTGAATCTGTACATGCTATTTTTTCATTCAATAAAGTATTATTATTATTATTATTATTAAGAAATTGAAATACGCCCCCCCCCCCCCCCCCCCCCAGCCCTCCAACAGCAATTGTCGACCTTTCAATGTTCGATTCGTCTACAACAGAGCGCAGTACCCGCTTGGCATCATTGAAGGTCGCCTCAAGCGACCGAGAAAGAAGACGGTTCGCCACGCGGACGGCGGGTAGGGTAGCAATAGTGCCACTAAATGAGCTGCGCTTAGAGTATCGGCACTCCGTTCCCCGGCATTGTTGTGGGCGCCGCCATTTTGGCTCGTATGCAGAGCAGACGCAACTGCCGACCGTCATGATTCAAAAGTGTGACTTCCTCAGCATTAGATTCGGTGTTAGGAAAGTCACCCAATATTTCTTTGCTCTGTCACGAACTGTTTAAACATTTCTGGAGGGCGTAAAGGCGTTCCCTGTGATTTCAGATAAAGCTTCAGATAACTGGCAACCATGATTTTAAGACACAATATGGCCAAGTGTCGTTACTCTGAAGCGTAGCTTACATAGTGGCACTAGGTAGCAACAAAGAGGAAATGGTTTTGTTGACCTCCGTTAGATGACGCGACGCAAACTTCTTTGCTAATTGTCACGTCACACCGTGCTCCGACGAGCATCACAAGCGGCTGCAGACCGGAGGAAAATGTGTTTTTTGCTTTGCGACTACTTATATCGAATTTCGTTGGTTGTTATGCATCACTAGCCTAAATCCCCTACGAAGCTCGCGATCCGTGCGGAGCCACCGCGCCTCCGACTCCACCAGCAGAAGACGACATGCCTCCGGGGGTGACCGATTGTCTTCCCGGCATCCCCATCGCGCTGGGCTCTCATCATTTCTGTAAAGCGCATGCATACTCGGAGCCGCCGTTGGTAGACCCCCCGTTCCCGTGAAGCTCGGCTACGCAGGAAGTCACGTTCATCTAGAGACCGGCTTCTACTTGGCTCCGGGAAAATCGGCGGATCGAGATCTGGACGCTCCGTACCGAGATTCGGAATCGGCGCTGCTCCAAAAAGACGAGCAGAAGACATCCGGGTTGATTCCAAACGACCAGTGGCGACACGCGCTCCATAAATGTCAGTCGCAAAGCGCGCCAAAACAACGAGTGGAATTCGCCATTAGTGAAATCACAGTATTTCGAGGTGAGGTGGAGCGTTTTCTCTCACTTGTTTAAATATAAACAATACAAAAATACAAGCTGGAAATTCTTTCAACGTTTCTATTGTTGCACTGCCCCCTATTAATATTGAATTACTGATCAATTGCCAGTCGATCAAGAAGCAAAACATTATTCTTACGTCGACAAGCTCGAACCTCAGCATTGTTTCGGGATGGCAGACATTTTCTATAGCTCTCCTTAACTGTGGCAGAAAGCGCGCTTTATTCTTATCGACCACTCCAGGACCTAGAATAAAAAAAGATTGAAACAAAACATTTAGAAAACAAGGAAGTATTCTATTCCATTGCGAAGAAGATTTATTATGAACAAAATTCCTATTTAATTCACTTCAAAATTAATAACAGATGTTATAAATCGTATAGCAAGTTTGACTGAACAGCTTGTCGGTGAAAAACAGTGTATGAGCTGAAATACGTTTTCTTTTTTTGTTGAAAGTTTGTTCGATGTTGATATTAAACACATAACCACAACCTTTAATAACTGTATCACTAATACAGTGTTTTAAACGTATCACTAGCAGCGTTTATCACACCGGCAAAACGTTTCTACACATCCGACCTTAAATGTGGGTCTAGAATAAACCGAAAATGTTTTCAACATCTTTTAGGGTCATTAAAGACATTAGCGGGAGTTTAAGTACGGGATCAAGAATTTTTTTTTGCTCACAGAACAGTGTTTTTTTTTTGGTTTTTTTTTTCTGCAGAGGATTTTTATCTAGGCCTACAATTTTTTAGTTGCGTGTTAATTGGAATAAAACAAACTCAGGACAAGGGACGACGAACATCTCTTTTAACTCGCAATAACATTAACGAACTTAAAAGCCTTTTTTGCAATTCCACACGGCAGATAAAAAGAACAGAACGGGAGATGGGAAGAGCGAAGGAAAGTTTTGCTTGATTGTTTTTTTGCCAAGTCAACTTGAAAACGCGATCTAGAGTTGATTTGAATTTAAGTCAAAGTATACTACGCATGAAAGGACCTTGGAGTGTTCCCATGCGATAGTTCTGTAAATTCACTCGCGAGGGTGACTGTTCAATAGCCAGAATTGATTGTCATTTCTTCCACTGCTGACTGATCTGGCGAGGTTGTTCGGGGAATGTAGTTTGAGGCTAGGACGAGAGAGATCACAGCCTCAGTTTACTAACAAGGTAGAAAAATGAAAGACGTAGAGACACTGTAACGCCGAATAAGAGTGCAGCTCTTGAGAAGCAGGAGGGGAGGGTACTCAGGGGAGGAAATACCTCTCCTTCCTCCTCACCTCCTCATTCTCTCTGCTACTCCTTCTCCCTCCTCTTCCTCCGCTCCTCCTCCTCCTCGTCCTCCTCCTCCTCTCCGCGCGTTACATCATGGGAAATGTCCCATAATGCACCGCGCGGGACCCTCGTGACGTCACACGTGACCTCGCACGTGACGTCACCAGGGTGCCGCGCGGTGCATGACGAGACATTTCTCATAATGCACCGCGCGGTTACGCCGACGGCAACAGCAACGCCGACGCCGCTCAAGCCGGAAACGGGCACCTAACAGCTGCGCTCTAAAAGTCCCAGGAAGAGCTTTCAGGTGAATAAGCTTGCATGAACAAGCGAGAGCGTAAACAAAGGTACTTATATGACACCTCTCTCCTTTTAAATTTTTTACCTTTAGGTAACCCGTCACGAGTATGTTGTTACTTTTTTTTATGAATAAGAACGTTTCGGGAGAAGGAACGAGTAACATATTTTCGTTACTTTATATAATGAACAAACGAGCATCTAGTTACTTCTGGAGCGGAACGTGAACAGAAGTTAACCAACCCTATTCTGCCACAATCACGCGCCTGCGAATTTCGAGGCAAAGCTGTATAGAAAAAAATATATGTGCACGAAGTATGACAGCGTAACTAAAGTTACCACCGAAGTCTCTATTGGTGAAAGGTCCGTCCTTCCAAAAAAGCGTTCAACAAACAAACACAAGATTATTTCAGTTAACCCCTTGGGGAAATTTTTTTATCCTCCATGTATATGTCCTGTCTAGCTTCATTTATTTGAGGTATTCTACTCTCAAAGGACCCATGAAAAGAAAACAAATCATTATTTTTTTTAAACGGTCGGGCTGGGACACGCTGTCAAGAAATAAATTTTTGCGAGAAAAAAAAGGCAATATTGTTGGAGAGATTTATTTGAAATTCTGCGTGCAAAGTCCATAACGTCACGGGTGATTTCGGAATGACCATCTCGGTCGTTCACTCTTTCCACCTCAACGAGAAGGCGAAGCCAATCCACTTCTCCTCCACGCGCCCGAAATGCCGAGAGAGGAAGCCTGTAGAAAGGAGGTGACTACCGACAAAATCGCGTCTCGCGACGTCAATATTGCTCGAACTTTTTCATCGCGTGAAATTCATTTTTTTGACTCGCGTGTCCCTAACAAAACGTTAAAAAAAATAACTGGCTTTTTAAATGGCGTCCAAACTAGGTCAAAGACAGAGTGGAGGCAAATTCCTGTAAGGTACAACAGTTTAACCCAGAAATTCAGAATCTGAGGGGCAATCTCGAACACTTCTCTCCGTAGATGTCAGATGATCAAACGGGTGAAAGCTAAATTGGGTAACAAGGTTAGGTTAGAGAAGTGTCGTTATATTCTAGTTATTTATGTCATTGTCTTCTAACACCGTAGATTCTACACTTTCCCGTCCGAAAGTAGCTTAATTGTATTACTCATTACTCCATAAAAAAAATTATATATATAAAAAAAACGTTATTGGTACTAATTTTTTGTCTCCCAAGGAACTAGGTCGTTACCTCGTTACTGGTAAAATGTAACAAGAGAAAAGTGACGCACTACTCGTTATGCCTTACGCTGTACGATTATGTTTAATTGTCTAATACCTGACATAATTTAAGACCGGATATTTCGTTTGGACTACTCGCAGCCAAGACATCTCTTTCGTATTCTAAAACTAGAAATGTTTAATTTTTAAATGTATGGAGGTTCCAAAACAGGGAAAGACGTTTTGTAGTGTGAACAAAAAAAACTGTAAATATTGTGATACTAAAATTTGGAATTTTTATTTGTAGAGTTACGATTTCTTGAGTCTAAAACTCGAAATTGTATTGTCCCAGCTATCTATATTCAATATCTTATACATCTTACTTTATGAGTTGAAAGTTTAATAAAAGAGGCACATTGTGTTAGTTACATTATTGTTAAATTGTATTTTAGTTGAATTTGACAGATCACTGGCTAATTCAGTACTTTTTTGAAGTGATAGCTTGTGCAATGGTCTAACTATATTTTGTTCGTTACATTATTGGTGAAAATGTAGAAGTATCTATCGTCCTCTCCTGTAATGGCCTTCAAGAGAAGGCGGAAAGTATTAAATGAATGATGAATCGATGTTATATAGAGGTATTGTAAGATAAATATATAGATAAAAAAATGTGGACTTGAAAGCTCTAATTTGGCAGAGTCTTCTCAATGTACGGTACAGAATAAACATACAGGCCAGACGATGAACTTTAAAAGCTCTAAAACCCCACGGCCCAGAAAACAAAAACAAAAAAGCAAAAAAAACAAGATGCTCTTTTGTTTCCTTTAACTCCTCTCAAAGTTTCCAGTCTCAAGTTTTCTAACTTGCAAGGTTATTTTTTAACCTTTACAATGAACAGAAAGATAATGGCGAATATTATATATTGGGGTTTAGGCTGATACCTTCAAATGCAAGTGTATATAACGTTGAATTGTGGCGTTGGAGGCAGGGGTGCTTTTCGAAAACTTCTACTCCTGGTTCAGAAAAATCGACCTCGTAGTAGTTTTTAAGGCGGACGTCTTGCTTGAAGTCTGAATCACCTTTCTGAAATAAATCATTCGAAGAAAGCATTTACACTCGCCACACAGTTAAAAAGAAAATACACGTGATAGGCTGCTTTTTTGCTTACATATCAAAACTGTGGTTTTCAATAGGCTTTTGTGGCGCGATTTCTTCATCTAGGAAACAACCAGATGGATAAACTTCAGTTTGCCACTACAAATTAGCAAAGAAGCGCTAATGTTGTGTTTTCGCTAACATTGTTGGGTTGTGTACATTCTAGGGAGCCTTCATGTGCGCTTTGCTAGGGTGATGCCATCCTTTGTAATACCACTCGCCGACAAACCAGCAGCCATTTTGTTCCTCGGCGATAATCCGTGGGGCTTATAACCCTCCAGGAAACAAGCACCTTATCTCAGAAGTTCGGAGCAGCGTTGTGGAACCCACGGAGGGAGGATTAGCATTTTCCCCCTCGGATGGGATTACCGATGGACACAAAGGCCACTTTCCGGCGCACGGGGAATCAATGAGAGGAACAAAATGGCGGTGGACGAGGGTGTGGGGAGTTGAAACAGGCAGTTGGCATCACCCTATGCGAAGCGCACATGAAGGCACCCTAGTACATTCAATACAAGAAATAATGTATAGCTTCAAGAAATACGAATATTTTAATACCGTTAGAAAATAGAAATTGTAATTCTTGATGCTTCACTTTTCGGTTCCTGGATATATATGCCGACCTCTCGCCACTTTATTAGCGCAAAACACGGAGTCATTTCTCTTATGGTTTCCATCAATTTACAGGGAGCGTCATGTCAAATTTATTAAAGCACAACATTTTAATTTTTAGGTTGAATTGGAACTTACAATAAAAGAGAAGAAAGAAAAGCAGAAATTAGTAGAAAAAACAGTGCATTATAAAAAACACGACAGTAGCCTTCAATGTCTTGGTGTCTTCTTTTGATTTATAAACAAGTCACAGCCGGACGGCTGTGACTTGTTTATCCACACCAGCATAAAATTACATTAAAAACAGCTATAACAGACATGTTCGCCTTTTTTAATTTATTGTAAAACTTATTTATGGGTGTCCCTAATTTCTTTTTATTTGTGACATGTAGGCATTACCCGTTAAAATGAACTTCGAAGTACCCCATTCGTCAACTATATTAGATATACTACGAGCAAGAACGGGCCCTTTAAATCGAATGGTAATAGAATCATGCATAACTGGCGTGTGCAAACCCTCATTCTTAATAACAGGAATGTTTCTCGTGGAAACACATGGAGCCATAGCACTTACACTAGCCATTGAGTGATATACCTACATTTCGCAATTACTGGTTAGCAGTGTCAATTGTTTGTTCGAAGTTTCAGACCTGTTCCACTCTGAGTATTAGAGGCACGGACTTTAATGCGCATGTGTCATTTACCCTAACGTATGTTCAGTACAAGGTCAATGCAGCCCAATATTTGTATCTGAGGGGGCTAGTCATTTAATCGTAGTTCCGTTTTTGAGTTTACACTAAGCTTCTTATTTGGGGAAGGGGGGGGGATCAATTACCTTGTAAGATTTGCACCTTATTAAAATGCCAATCTGTACCTTGTTACACGCCTTGGCGTGGGTATCGTTTTATTTTTTGATACGGAAGTTTGGAGGATTTTAAGAATATTATTAAAACCCCGAGAGATGCAGGCGTTCAGAAACTAGAATTCAAAAGAGGTGAGCTGCGATGAAAGTGAAATTGGCGATACTCGATTAAGCACCCTCCGAGTTTCATCAAACGTACTTGTAAATAGCCCTGAATCCTAGTTATAAATTATGCGACCTACTGCAGATTGAATACTCGAATTCACTTAAAAATAATATAAGAATAATGATACTTCTAGACGTGGTTGTGACATAATTAGCAGAATGGGGATACCAAGTCACTAGAAGCGACTCTTGGACTTGTGTGTTGCATTCACATAATGCAAAGAGAAAAAATCAAAATATAAAAATTACGAAATGGTTCATTATTAATAGGGAATTATTAATTGATAGCGAAGTAATTTACAGATCAATGCCATAACGGAAGTCACCTTGTATGGAGCGTCGCACATACAAAAAGCATTGAAAGAAAGTGCATGCATACCTCTGGCTTGGTGGTTTCCTCCTTGTAGTCTACCACTTGAATGGGCGTAAGAACCTTTTTATGGCTACTTTTCTTTTCTTTGACTTCAGACTAAGAGGGAAATCGAGTGCAGATTAGAGTAGCTATTCAAACTGTAGGACAGAAAACTATTATTTCACTTAAGAAGAAGTTTTGTTTTTAATAACTGGCCATAACTATCGGGGGCTAATAATTAAGTGCATCGTATTGCAGTTCATCGGATATCCAGAGGTCTTAGAAGGGACAGCTGAACGAAATTTGTTTGTAAATAATCTTTATTTTTTTTATCAGTTTTGTTTTCCTTGATTTTGTGGCAGACATTCATAGTAACGTCTCAAACAAATTTCGCACTTCATTATTTTCTCCAAAGTAACATAGGTGCCTGGTATTCTTTTTTTTATAAAACGCAAAGAAACGTTCTTAGTCAGCCTTCTATCTAAGTATAAGTACATTTTGTAATAATCAACACTTTGTTTAATATTTTTCATGATAAAAATTTACTAAAGAACGTGCAAGTCTGCGGCATTTTCCAGCCTACAGCAATGATGCCATATCAAGGGTGAGCAAATATCTAGGTCACACATTGTGCTACATTACCTTCATCAGTTACAACAATCGATGCTTTTTTGTATGACTTACGTTCTCGAAATAAAACTGCTACTTACCTTAAATATTTTAAGTGCGTCTTCTAATAATATTCATGTTAATCGAACGAACGCGACATGGGAGCACATTCCCACTTTCTAGCGACTGAAGGGGATGCTGTCGTTGAACAAAGGCGTGCCTTTCTTCTAAGAGGAAGAGCATGCAATCGGAGCCTGAGATAAAATTTTCTGAGCAGTTCTTTGGTAACATTTGTTCTTGATACTAGTCATAATAGTAACACATGACACGAAAAAAAAAAGAATTTCTTTATTCGAAAAATTAAGCGGGAGCTCATGCTAGCCATACGGCGTAGAACGCATCGTCTCACACATGCGTTCTCATTTGCAGAGCCTCTTTCTTTGGCATTCGAAACTTTCTTGGCATTAGGAACTGCGTTCAGGCTTGCAAGGTTCACGCCGGCCAGGCGGCAAACATTGAGACATGTTATAAATTCGACTACGTTTGTATATATCACCGCAGCCAGCACGTTAGTTTGGCAGAGAAAGGTGACGGCGATTCGGTTAGGAAAAGCTACCTACCGCGAGAGGCCCTGAGAGCAGTTCCCTAGAAATACTCGACGTGGCAGTTATCTCTCTGACATGTGTGAATACCCTTTTCGAGCACTTCCCGAAACGTGCGTTGTAATTATAAACATGATTCTAACCGAAGACGACGTACAACAAAAGAAACAAGGCACAAACGAGCACGTCTCAACTTTGTGTTCGAAAGCTTTTTTTCTTGGAGAGGTGAGTGTTTGTGCATTGTGCCATTTGTCGTCCGTTGTCTCTGATTAAAATAATGTGTAATGTTAACCAGCCTGCCTGTTTATTAACCTTGTCTTGTAATTGTACATATGACTTCTGGTAATTCACATGCGGTGAACCGAATTTGCAATAATGAATTAAGTGAAGACGGAGCAAAAAGCAAAACAGAGATACTGTCCGCGTGTGTAACAAAAGTTACGACTAAAATAGACGCCGAGGAAGTCGTACAAAATACCTCTTTATCAGAATAGATATGGCGAGTTGTTCTGTTATACAGGGTGTCCCATAAAGATCTTTACAACTTTGACAATCTTGGGAACGAAAAGACGTATAAAGGTGCGGTTTGCAGTAGTATGTTAAGAAATACTTAAAACTTTTGTTCAAACAACTTAACATGACGTGTTTTTTTGTGTTTTTTTGCAGGATAAGGACATTTTTTTTATGCAGACATGATGAGCCGGACCGGGGCGGAGGTGGAGCATCGAAGTAATTTTCGGAATGCTATTGATGAAGCAGACATTGAAATTTGTTAAGTGGTTAAAAAAAAAAAAACGATAGGTGTTTTTTTATTATTTTACCGCAATCCACAGATTTTACCCCTTTTGTTTCTAAGGTGTAGTCATTAAATTTGTAAATACCTTTTTGGGTCACCCTACTTTATTTCGGGCTCGACCGGTTGAAAGTTTCAATCCTCATTTGATAGGTTATGTAACGTAGCGTGCGATAAAGCACTATTGGAAAATAAAAAGAAGCAGCGACCTTACAGCTGTGTTTATTGCGTCTGGCTAATGAGAACTCAAATACTTACGCTAGTTCAGAATTTTAGAGGTAATAATACTTACCTGTGGACTATAGAATACTTGCTGCTCAACGATAGGATGAATTTATTAAGATATTCTAGTTTTAAGTTGACTTCTACTTTAATTAATTGTCACGCCCTCTAAAATCAATCATTGCCATTTGCGGGTAAAGACCAGCGATTTGCAAGGTATAAACGAGGCTTTCATTCAAAATTTCACATGTTCTTTTTGATTTTAAGTTCGTAATGGGAATACTGTGCTTGTCCTTGAAGCATAGTTAAAAACTTTGTAATAAAAAACTGCTGGTGCCACGTTTTTCACTTATCTTTATATTTTGGCTGCTGTCATTGGCTTTCGTGCGCTCAGGGAAAAGCAGCTGCACGAATTGTTTTTGATAAAATATATGTGATGTGCTTTAATGGAAGCTTCACCTGGCAGTTTCCTTCCACAAACCCTGTTTTACATGGACAGCCGTGCAAAAGTGTATATTTATATCGAGTTATTGGTACACGGCTCAGTGATCTGAAAACGTGCACTGGTGTACTATCGTGAGCTGTATGAGCGGGAACGCCGGCTCACATGGCCTTCGATTCATTCTGCGCTACCTCGAGGATGAAAAACAGCGTAGTGGAGAGAGAGAGAGAGAGAGAGGGGGGATGAAGAATCTGCGAGGGTGTGGACAACTACTTTGCAAGGGAGAATACATTTCATGCTGCTCATTTGCATTACACAGCACGCCTAAAGGGCCATATCCTCTCCTTGCAGATGGTTGTAAATCTGCGTCAGTCAACGGATGTGCTGGCCACGACAACGCGCTGTCGGAATCGGCTTCCACCCATCGTCCGGCCAAACCGGGCACACACCTTTGCTTGAAGTCAAGCTTGACGACGTTATATTTTCTACGGGCGTCTGCGGTGTTCTCGCAATGACAGTATAGAGCTGGAAGTAGACGGTACGAAAATGTGGTAACGGGAAAGACTGTGCTACGCTACTGGCTCCAATATCCGATATTTGCAGGAAAGAAACCTGTCGTTCTTTCGTTTTCCTCGGTACACACATGTAAATTACAGCTTTTATGTAGTCCTGCTTTTTTGTGTTTTTCTCACTTGGTAATTGTTAAGTAATTTTTGTTTGGACCTCAAAAAACAGTTGTTGCAGACATAATGCATAAATAATGACGTACTAGAATTGTCCAATTTTTGGGGGGTGGCCGGTAGTGTGTAAAAAATAAATGTATCCGAATTCATATTGCATTCAAGTTTTATAACTCGTCAGAGTCTGTTGGCTATATTACTTTAAAAAATTTATCTATTCACAGATTTCTCAATTTGATTAAATCCAATGGGCTTTGACCACTTTATTTCTACAAAGAGCGTGTACAAAAAAATATTTCGACCTACTCTGGTGCAAAGATTATTTGTTCTGTTTTTTGCTTGTTAAACAAGCTGCGACACATCGACCGAACGAATCGTGGCCCGTCCACCGGACACCAGAGGACGCATAGTCAAGTGCTTTGACTCGACACGCCTACGGTGATACAGCGAAAACCGTTTAGAAGGAACCCACACACAGCGAAATATTGTCGATATCAAACTCAGAAAGAATTTGAATAAAAATGCATGTAAGAAGTACTTTTTATAATGAACAACATAGTGGCTATATCGAACTGTTTCCCGCGGGAAGGCGTTCAAAAACGCGATAACAATCGTCTTCAGACCTCTCCCTCCGCCTCCCCCTCCCCCCCCCCCCCCCCCCAAAAAAAAAAGTAAGAAAGAAAGGAAAAGTTTTCAAGATTCAAGTTGTGAACAGAATTGAGCGAAGAGAAGCGATTAAGAAGGGGAGAAAGCTAAAGAATACACCCTGCATGCACGCACATAAAAAAATCTTTTCACCACAAAACTGCTTCCCACGAAGAGATGCGATTCCAAAGGGGAGATAAGCAAAAAAAAAATGTGCACGCATGCGAAAAAAGATATCTTTCCAGCGCGTTGTTGCAAAGCGAAAGCGAAGAGGTGAGAAAGAAAGAAAAGCTCTCGCCTTACAACGAACGCATCGTGTAAGTTTGTTGTATATGTTTTTTGATACATCGAACTGATCGTAGCGTTCCCTGCAGTTTGTTATAAACGGGTTTGACTGTATATGGCGCTCCCCACCACTCTCAGTTTAGAGGGGAAAAAAACAGTGCTCCGGGCATCCAGACGTCTGAACTACGTAAAACCTGTCCGCGCAACGCTATTGTACTTCCCCGGAGTGAGATGTATACCCCAGTAGAGTATATGCTGTGCACATCCGAGTGAGCGCACACTCTCGCCGCCCCCTCTCCACTACACAGATTTTTCAGCCTCAAGATAGCGCAGCAGACATTAAAGGCCATGCGCTCCGGCGTTCCCGCTCATACTGTTCGCAATAGCACATCATTAGATAGTTTTTGAGAACCGGTTTTGTACACCCGATACGGTTCGATGGGCCCTCCGGTTCCAACTGCTCATATGCGAGTCTTCTGTAGTAGCGGATGCGCAGTACGTACCGAAGGGTCCACCATATCTAATGGGCAAAAACAGTTCCTAAAACTTCCTGCTTACATTACAGTGCAAGAACGAAAGTTCATGGCATATAATAACGGTGCTCCTCGCTTCTAAATTGGCTTATAATGAGGACTGTGAACTGAAATATCACGAAAAAAAGCCAGGATTCATTTTCAAAGTTGTGAGCCAACGTAGGCATTTTATGTCCACTTTGGTTTCTGCTTTATGCTGAAATGGTCAGAACTAGTCAAACACTTTTACAAAGGAAAACAATATTTTAAGGGAAGGTAAATGAAGGCATTGAAACAGGCAGACACAGTGCATCATTCCGATGTTCAGCCGATTCTCCTCTCATTTTTAACGCACTCACACCCTTAAGACATACAGAACTGGTATCTTGCAGTGGTCTAAAAAGTACTGAGGTGACTGTGATAAAAAGCGAACCAAGTGCTAGGGGGTGATGCGTCGGCGCGTCGGCTCGTCTGCTTCCCAGGGCGTCTGCGGGCGTGCGTTTGCGGGACACGTGTTCCTTCTTCCCGTGGATCCCGAGTCCGAAGCCAGCTTTGCGATCCTTCCACGTAAACGAGTCAAACTTTTCCTTGTCATCTGTGGAATGCGACTGCGTATTGCAGTAACAGCGCGACGTTGCGGTGCGACGAACGACGACTGCCGAGCACAAAGTCCGGGCCCCTTGACGACGTTCCGCGCGTGTTCGAGATTCCTCCGCGGGTCGGCGGTCGGCCGCGTTGGTGACGCGCAGTAACACCGGAATCCTTCGCTTGCTATTGGCTGACGCGTAAAGAGATGCCCCTCCCGTTTTCTGGGGTCATCTCAGAAAGGGGGGCGTGCCGGGTACTTTGATGGCAATTTTAATAGGGAAATCCTCCGCGCATGACCGTAATTTTATGATTTTTAGGATCCTTAGGGCCTGTAGATTGATTTATCGCCATAAATAGACCATCGCAGAACGCTCCGGAGGGGCCTTTTAAAACGTTTGTCACTGTGCACTTGTAAGACACGAATTATTATGTATAAACAAGGAATTGAGAAACTTACTCCTCGAAAAGAGACCTCGTGTCTGATTAAGAACGTTTTTTTAGAAGGACCATTTGTTTGCTCCTTTAGCTGAGACCAAGTCTCTCCATAGATTCCACCTTCAGCATACTAAAACAAAAGTAAAAATGCACATTTAAGTGGAGTCATTCTATCGATGATGGACCATTTGTTTTAGAAACAGCAATAAAAAATGAAAGCGACCCATACGAAAATGTAATACATGGCCCTGATATATTTTATGTATGGCTATATGTGATAATATAAGGAGTCAAATGTGGCCAGATACAGCCATATATGGGTGCAAACACGGCAGCACATCGCCATATAAGTTGCCAAATACCGCCATATATGGCCATAGAAGTGCGTAAATACGGTCATATTTCGCCATGTATGCGTGCCAATACGGCCATAGATTGCTGTATAAAAGTTCAAATACTGCCATATATAGCCCGCTCGCGACATAGATGGGTAAAATATATCTCCTGATAATGATATTAGGGCCTGTTTCGGTCATGCAAGCAAAACGTTATATGTAGTTGCGAAGGCACTAGTTGATTTATCTATATTGCATGAGTCTCATGTAATTCCTTAACTACTGTTAACATTCTTAAGGTGGAATTATTCCAGATATTTGGACCAATTAATCAATTGCTCATTTTGAAGATTAAAAGACAAATGAAATTTGGTTTTACATTTGGCGTGTAACAATTTGACGAAGTGCATAAGTTCGGAAAGCGAGTTAATCAAACAATGGATTTTAGAACGCAGCTCTTAGGCGCCCGTTTCCGCATTAAATGGTGTTGGCGTCGCGGTCGGTGTTGGTGTAAACGCTCCGCTAAATTTATCGGGAACTTGAATTGGTGTTCATGTCACTTGACGTCAATTTTCCCGCTAAATCTAGCAGTGAAACTAATTTTGTTCATGTTTCCCCGCTAAATTTAGCGAGGAAACATGAACCGTTAGCTTACTGAAGATGCAAGACGCTACTTCCTCGTCGCGAATCCTTTACCCTTCGAACGGCTGCGAAGCCGTTGCGCCCGGAGTACCCTACGCAGCATCTGTCACAAACCGTTCGCGCAGCATCGCAACCATCCGTTTGCGAGCGTCTGCGATTCATCGTGTGTTGAAAGTCGGAAGATGTGCTCTCCCTGGTGTCTTTTATGTTTAGCTCTTTCGTAAAAAAACTTGAAGTTTAACAATGCGAACCTATCAGTGTGCACATCATTTTAAATTGATTAGTATATATATATATCTTCGTGGACATCGGTGTGCAAGAAATAGTCGCACTTAGTTTTTCATTTCAAATGATATTTTGGGCTGGACAGCTTCTTTGGAAGTTCAAAAGCTGGACTTCATAGAGCTGCCCTCTTCGCTCGGTATTGACAGCAGGGTAGACGCTATGCGTGTTTTAAGCCAATCATGTCTCCGGTTAGTGTCACCTGCCTACAGTCTAGAAGCTGGTGATAAGGCAGAACACGGCACCTGCCCCAAGCCCAAGGCCACACATAGCATTCGCTACACTATCAACCTTGTGTACAAGTGACAAATCCTCGTGTTGCGGTCATTGTTGGGATCAGGACCCGGTCCTGGTCGGGATGCCCCAGAATATAAACCTTTTGTGTGTGCACTCCCGTTGTGGCGTTTCCTTCTCTCCATTTCTCTCTCTCCCAAAGCTGAAAGCGTGGTAGAACGTGTGCCCTTGGCGAAGCAATCAGCCGTAAACTTCTTATCACTTGACTATGCTCTGTGTGAGCGGGAAATGGCAGAAACGTGGTCGCGTAGTGTGACGGATGGCGCATTAGCCGTTGGCCATCTCGAAATGCCTGCTGCCGGACCTAGTTTGGCGTGTGTTGCGCCCTGAATGACTGCTGCAGATTCTGCTTCTGCAGCAAATTCGAAAAGTCCTACCCGCATATCGGCAACAAGCGATTTCTTCAAAGAAGCCGAGATTGTTTGGGGGTGCATGTTCGGTTCTACAAATTACAGCTTGTGCTACATCGTGTTGAATCTTCACGGACACCTTCCTTCTCGTTTTTTTTTTTTTGTTTGAGTGGTCATGCCCGTGTCAAAATATATCTTGGATTACAACTTTCAAGTGCGGTATCGTCAACGTAAGTGCGCTGCAACCTACTTTGCGTCCATTGATCGTTTTCTAGAGGTACTCTTCCAGATTACCTCTAGAATTAGGCCGTGTCTATCTCCTGGCAGCCGGGAGAATAATTTCTTCGAAATTCTACCAGCAGTGACCGGCCATTGGCCGTCTGATAGCATGTCACAACTGCAGGTAGAGTACTGATTTTTTTATTCTCCCTGCGTTGCTTGATAACACGTTTCACGGCCACGTCTTCGTGGATACACGTTTCATGGACACACGTTTCGTCGACACTAACGTTTCATCGATATTCGCCACGCGAATGTCGATTATCCTGCTTTCCTTGGCAATTAAGTTGAGCGAAATGAGAAGTGGCGTAAACCACAGCTTATGTAAAAATTAATAAAGTTGGTACATGCTCAATATCCAATTGGTAATTTTCTTATACAGTTGAGAAGTCACTTTTGTTAAATATTTGTCGAAAACAACAATATATATAACGGTTGCCTTATTTGATTGGGACATATCTGGCCTTATATTGGAGACATATATTCGCGACCCCAGCGACCTATAGGGGGCGCCACCACCAAACAAACATGGCGGCTGAGTCCAGGTCGCGTCGGCTCGGCCACGCCGCCTGAACGGGCGGCGCATTCAATTTAACAAATTTTCTTTTGTTGAATGCCCAATTTTATGGGTATTTGAACTGAGACAGTTAAGTGTAGCCAGTGCGCATAAACTTGCCAAGCATAGTTTTGTTTTGCCGGTGTTTTTTGTTCTTTTCATGTCAAACTTTCGTTTCGGAGACTTCGATCAAAGCCGAAACTATGGGCTCCGGAGACACGGTAATAGACTCTAATTAGTTTTGATCATCTAAGGAAAGCGGCGAGGGCTACAAAATTGTTCCACCGAGAGTAATATTTAGCTAACTCGCATGCCTCGACCATGCGACTTATCTGTCCGCGAAATTGAGCTTTTGTGCCTGTCCGCGTTTCAAGAAACAGCTCCAGTCGTGTGCTCGGTCAAGAACATAGGCTGCAAGAAAATTACGAAAATTAAGCAAGCGCTTTTTGAGCTAAGGAGCATGTCAACTCGCTGGCGCTTCACTAAGCAGCTGATACTCTTAATTCAATTCAGGTTTTAGTAGCAATCGAGAAGTCATTTTGACGAATATGCGGATTATGTATTATATTACGTACTATGGGGGGGGGGGGGGGGTCCCACTAAAGCGATATTAGTATATTCTTCGAGTTGAAATATGAACTTAGTTAACTAACTATTAGGTGAACTGCTGAATGAAAGTATATTGGACAGACAGAGAGATACTGCTCAAGCTTAGCCAAATGGTTCTAGCCGGTAGAACGGAGACGAATGCGGACAAACTGAGGAGAGTCCTCATCGGAGATTCACTCAGACCTCCCTGCATTGAACTTGACTCCGAATCCTGAACGGATAAAATTAGTATTTTTTGTGGCCGGTCAACCTGAGCAATGTAGACGTATATTGCTGCTGGCTTCGACAGGGGTTATAATATAAATATTGGAGGCACGATAAATCCTAATGACGTGACAGCTTCTAACTTTGCGAGACGCGTCCCCCACCTTTTGAAAACAGATAATTTTCCTCATTAATTATATGCAGCGAGCAGGTTTTCCGAATCAAGTAATTGCAAAATTAGCCCAACTCCTTCAATCTGGTCTTTTTCGGCGAAAAGCCGCCAAGATGAATAGCCAACGCACCGGCCGGCGTTAGTAGCTAAATTAACCTGAAGCTAATCGAGCACAACCAAACTCAAGGAAAGCAGCTATCGAACCTTCCCATTCACTTGACTGCAACCAACGTTACTAAAACACTCAGTTGAGAAACTCGCCGTCGAAACCTGGGCCGCTGGCGTCCACCGAGACCAAGCTAAATGCGACAACAGCGCCACTCTTTATCATTTGTCTGTACTGTGGTCACCTTGAGCTTTTTGAAAGCCTGTTTTTGCGTAAAAACAAACGAAAAAGACTCTTTTTGTATGAAATTTATTGGAGTTTAGTACAAAAAGAGGGGCGCGTTATGTTTTTTTTTTAAATCTTTAGTTTGCAGGGTTTTGCGGCACAATTAATATTGTTTTTATACAACCATGCCTCAGCGGGCCTTTCAGGTAGCGCGTCCCGTCCTAGGTGCATTTTAACTTCGGTAGTTGATCGCGGCGCGTCCGCCGGGAAGACGGGGGTGGCACCCCTGTAACCTCTTCCGCAGTATCTGTTCTTAAAGCCGAATTAGAAGCCACGTGCAGTTCCTCGAAGGGCCTCTGCGGGAGAAATGGTGGCGTTGTGTTCGTCATTAGCTCGGTGCTCGGAGACAGATTGGGGCCATTCTTTGGAAGCTGTCGCTATGGGAGTTTCCCAACTGAGTGTTTCAGTAACGTTGACTGCAACATTGGTGTTCCCTCCAGCGAAACACTTCGTCTGTCGACCTCAGTCCACTGTTCTACATCCTTATAAAGAAACCACTTATCAGTTACCAAGCAGTCGTCACTTTGAATATGATTAGAGACAGACGAGAAATCAAAACGTTTTTCCGTGATTCCTCCTTATCCAAAAAATTGAAAGCACGCGACCGTGTGTTGTGGAGTAAACGGGCTTTCAAACACGTGATGGAAAGAAACAATCTACTGAGGCTTCACCACACTAATGAACACTCAGGCAGACTTAAGAAATTTTCGGACCTTCGTCAAACATTGCTCGCCCCCGCGCCGACAGCACGTGTCCGCGAAAGCCATCAGAGACGCGGCGGGGCGCGGAGCGACCTGGACCGACTGGTTCCCGGTTTTCCCGCTTGGCGGCGTCCGTTTTGCTGGAGTCGCGAATACCCCTCTTTGGGCAGACCGAGATATGGATATATAAAAAATTGGGCATATCTGGACAGATATGCCTTACATAAACTGATAGCTTTATATGGCCAGTTATGGCCAATTTTTGTATAAAACCATATATATATTTCATGTAAGTCCAGATATGCCATTTTCGTAAGAGTAACCATTGTGGTACGTATTTGTCTCCATTATTCAATAAAGAAAGAAATCACTTTATTATTTCAGCTTACTTCCGCACTTTGTGGGTTTCAATAAACGTTCTGTGCTAAAAAAATATGTTTAACAAAAATGAATACCTTTCAATGTATGCTTCAGGAAAGAATATACACCAACGCGCTATTTACAAGAAAGCGGGCTTTGGCCAAATGATATTAAGCGCTGCGTTTCAGCAGATACAACATTTGACGACCATGAAGCGTATTCGCGTGCGCCGCGCCGTTTTATACTGCCATCGCTGTGAAATGACGCCAACAACTTCTACAGAGCGTCGTCTATCGGAACACGACACCCACCATGTCAACAAAGCCGCATACCACCCATCGGCAAATGTCAGGTTCGATGGTTCACACTTTAAGCTTAAAACCGACGTAAAGTCAGCACGGAATGAAACCCGACCGCCGGAACGCGTCGCCATCGAAACAGGCTGCTCCACCTGGAGAGCCACTGAGAACTAGTGAAAATGCTCCGGGGTGCAAAGGTGCAGGCCCTACTTAGATGTACTCGACTCTCGCGCGGCGCGTCTGGGACTTCCTGCTTCGTCGGTGGAGCGCTGTAAGCGCCGTAAGCGCCGTCACTCGGAGTTATTTTGTGTAGCCGCACTGTTGCCTGGTGGACACCGGGCGGTCACTTAGCCTTTCTGCGATAGGCCCTGCTTAGACAGAGTGATAAATTTTTTCCGCCCTGGAATTGATACGCCGGGCATATCGGTGGTTACCAAAGTGAGCGTCAGCGAGTAATTCCTCAATTTTTATGAGAATAGACTGATATACTCGCACGAAAGCATGCGCATTGCTTATAAAAATCAAGTCCTCCGCGTCGGTCTTTTGCAGCATTTGTTTTCTATCAAGAGTATGGTTCTGCCGATAAACGAATTTTATTTCGCGTCTATAACGTTTCACTATTTCTGGGAAACCGCGCGTGGCACGTTGTTCACCGAATCCTCCGCGTGGCTCTGGTGACATGTCATCAAGCACTACGGGTGTTCAGTGCACCAAATGTTTCAACTTTCATTTCCCCCTTGCGACACTCAAAGTGATAATTGATGATAGCGCTGAAGAGATACCGCTGGGCATCCGATACACAAAGCGATAATTAATGGGTGCACTGGACAGGTCGGACCAGAATCTGCACAGAGTGACGTATTGTTCAAGGCTCAAGTCTCTACGATTAAAGAAAGGTTTTGCTGAGTGCGCGAGTTAGTATACCTGCGTTATGGCATTCGCAGCGAGGCATGCGAGCCTGAAGAACACGAGAGGTTTATGGACGAGCTCTGGGAGTGGACGTATGGATGTGCTCATATATTATATACAAAATATTTTAGTCGCAACCTTCAGTTGGCTGTCAGCACTCGTCATGTGTCCCAACTTGTTCTTCTCTCTCGTATGTCGCGCTCTTTTGCTATGAGTACTGCTAATTATAAAATTAAGATACGTATAGCAAATAATAAAAACTGCGCACGCCAGGAGAAGACACCAGGGGCGTGCTCCGCTGGCGTGCGCGCAAGCAGCTTGCTGCTCCTAGCATCGAACTTCTCGCTCTATGCGCAAGCCGCAGGTTTCGACTGGGCGAAAATGCGGCGACGCGAAAGCGCCCTGAGCGACGGCGCTTGCAGCGCGCCACTGGTGAAACACAAAAGTCTCAGACGCGCCGCGCGAGAGTCGAGCACATCTAAGTAGGAACCGCACCCTTGCACCCCGGCGCATTTTTATTAGTTCTGAGGGGCCCTTCAGGTGGAGCACCCTGTGTCGATAGCCACGCGTTCAGGCGTTCGGGTTTCATTCCGTGCTAACTGTACAATCTCGGTCTTCTGCAGGGACGATAATCCTGTTCGCACCCTCCTCGCCTAAACTATGAAGGAAGCCAAGTTGGGACAAGTCAAAAGGTGGAGAGGATATGGGAAAAGGTGGAGTAAGGAAAAGTGGAAAGAGCGATATGTGCGTTGGCCTTAAGGAGGCAATCACGACAGGAAACGGCCGCCTTAATCGGGTCAATCATCTACATTTTCTTCTACTTAGCATTCGGCCCACGTTCAAGCAAAATCATAACTGCACCTCCGCAGAGTTAGTGTATGGTATACCGCTTCGTTGGTTTAGAGACTTCTCCGAGACTGGAATCATCGGCTTATCTTTCCCCAGAGATGTTCCCCGTGAGTAAAAGGGATAGATGGCTGTTTGAAGAGACCGCATAAATCGGTTTCTAAACACATTGCGTTAGGATTTACCACAGAGGTGCCCGAAGGTGGTGGAAGCTTTCGCTAAAATTGTGGAAGTACTGCCTCACCTGAGTAAATTACGAAGAAAATAAAACTGGTTTTCCTATGCTTTGCATGTAAACTTACAAATATTTTGTGTCCCTGTGGCGCTTATAGAGGCCGAATGAAGTGAAGAAAAAGTGAGCTAATTTTGTTGTCTTTCCATTTAACCAGTCTTTAGTCGTAATAAAGGCATCATAGCCCAAAAGGATTTCCTGATGATTTTGAGAAAGAACGCTTAGCAATAACCTTTCCGCACACAAAAACAGTTATTTTCTTTCTCTTGACTCAGAAAGTTTAATGTATTTTTGCTCCCAATTAATAAATGCACCACCTTCCAGCGTCCCTGTACTAAATGCTAGCGCGATAAGTTAAGAAAGCGATTCATGCAGACCCTTGAAACCGCCATCGATCCCTTTGACTCACCCGGTACTTCAAAAACTTGCGGCAAATCTACCAGCATATGCAACCACATCACCTCGGTTTTTGAGCTCTCGAAGTATCTTTTACAGCCAAAAGTTAACAGCGTGCGCGCATGCCTTTCTACGTAAGGAGGGTTTGATGAAGAGTTTGACACCATCTTACGACGGAACTTTCGAAGTTCTGGGACGTACCACGAAAGCCATGTTATGTAATAGTCGAACACAGGTTGTCGGAATAGAGCGCATGAAGACACCTTCGCTGAACTTTGACGCTTTCCAGAGCCACGTGACTAAAACAGTTCGATATAGACCCTTTTCTAAAATCTGTTTTATGTTGGGAGCTGTGGTATACCTGCAAAATGCCGGCTGCAGCAGACACTGCCGAAGCTGAAACAAATTGTTTTTACTAATTTCCATTCGATATGAAGTAGTAGATCGCAATGAATTTTGGGGCGTGTGATCGCAGTCATGGTTAAGTAGCTAAGCTTAGCAGAAAAATTCAATTTGTTAAAAGTGGTCACGTGACCATGTGAGAAAAGCACGTGAGGTATAAGTGGCAACTTGATTGTGTTCAGGTGACACTGACGTCTTATGAAACCGTGACACTATAATGTCACCATGTATAGATTTACCAGAAAAATGATTCCATCAATGCGATTCCATCAGTTAGGCAGAATCGGTTAGGGAAACGAAGCGGGAAAATTTTTCTGCTACACTTAGCGGCAAAACGTCCGTGCTAAATTATTGTCTCTTACGTTACTATTCATAATTTTCTCTTGAGTGTTGTGCGATAATTGAAATCTGAAAGCAATAGTGGATATATAAACTTGGTGGTTAATTTTACTGAGCATATAGGCCCGTGATGAGTACTTGATTTGCAGCAGTGAGAAAACGTCAGGGATCACTTAACCAAAAAGTAACTGCTCCTTGTTTCAAAATCAATCATAGGGGTCCTTCTTGAACGGAGAAATCCTAGTCAGAACAGATTGTGACTATTTGGACTAAATTATACTCGTAAAAACATAAGAAATAGAAATATATGTCAATATTTCACCTTTCCCTTGTATGATAAGTCTGCTGAAATTCCAAAGAGATCATCCCGATTAATTTTGTTACATTTTGTGTCCTCTTTAGAGCAGAGAAAAAAATCCTTCTCCACCTCCGAAATAAGGCATTCATCGTTCGCAGAATGTGCCAGAAATACATGATCTAGGGAGGGCAAAGATGTTTAGATCAGTGGCATCAAACCATAAAAATTCAACGTCAAGATATCTCGTAGCATGACTGAAATAGCATTGCATGCTTTACGGTCTATCGTACTCAGACATTTTTTTATCGCCTGCAACGACTATGTTTGGTTGTTGCAATATTCATAGTTACTAGTTCCTAGAACCGATCGTGAATTTGACAAAAACAATCTACATAAATAGACTTTATTGGGTTGGGTTGACGCTACGCATGCAGTACCCGTATATCGGATGTCAACAAAACTAGCGACATGTTTGGGCAACAAACCAAGAGCAGTGAAGAATTAAAAACACTAAGCGTCCTTTTTCTAGACAACTTGGGAAGCAGCCGAGTAAATTTGCGAGCTCGGGGACCCCCCATAGGAGCTCAGTTGCCCTATGCTTCACGGCGGAACTAAGCGCGACCAAGCGGGACCGGGACAACGCCGTCTGCTGCAATTGGTGAGCGCCGCGGCGCTGACCAACCACCACAGACGACGATGTCTCTTGGTCCCGCTTAGTTCCGCCGTGAAGCATAGGGCCCCTGGGGGATATGTGGGTACCTGGGAACCTAGTTTGAGATACCAGTCTTTAGGCGAAACACTAAGGGGACATAAGCATGGATGTCTATACGGTGTTCTAGTGGCTCACGACTAAATAACATTGGGTCTTTTAAATTTCGGCTAGGTTGGAGGTCTTTCTTATAGACGCTTTTAGCGAGTCAGTTGCCCGAGCTACCACCAGTCGGCACGCCCTCCGCGCGCTTTCCGGGCCGCCATAGCCGACCTTCAGTTCATCGCCGTTGCTCCGCGTTGTGTGCTGCACCTGCCACCACCGGAGCTTTGTTTTCGTGTTCTTTACGTTCAGCGTTGCAATCGTGTTTTCTTTAGGTCTTTTCGATAATTCGGGATTTCACTTAATCATTTAATATGTGCATTTCAACATAGCTCTTGTATTTTCTTATTTATGGAATGGAATCGGACAGCGAATGGACCGACCATACAAGATTGTGGCCTAGGCTTCAGAGACCATGTAATTTCATCAAATTTTTAGGTTTTTGTCGCTAATAAAGGGTAGTCAACACCATTGCGGCCCATGCAAATTTCAACTGACGCAGTAAGGATCTCGCAGTCGTGCTTCTCGCTGCATGTGCGCGCTTGTTTCCGTAAAGCCGAACCGCATATAAACGATTTAGCGTGCGACGAGCCGAGCGACGGCGACAACGACGGCAGTCATCGACGAGCAACGGAGATTTCTCACTGTCGCCCGTCGCGTCGCTCGGTTTTCGAATTCCTAGGGAACTTAGAGCTCACCGTCTTCGTCACTTGCTCCCGTCGCTTCCATGCGGTTTGCCTCATCGCGGGACTGACCGAGCGACAGCGAAGCGGGTCGCCGTCGCTTGTCTCGTTGCTCCCCAAAATCGCTTGCATGCGCTAAACACTTAATATCGAGGCGTTAATGGTTCAATGCTGTGTGCATCGAAATTAAGTATAAAGCGCATGCAAGCGATTTGGCGAGCAACGAGACAAGCGACGGCGACCCGCTTCGCTGTCGCTCGGTCAGTCGCGCAACGAGGCAAACCGCATGGAAGCGACGGGAGCAAGCGACGAAGACGGTGAGCGCTACGTTCTCTAGAAATTCGAAAACCGAGCGACGCGACGGCCGACAGTGAGAAATCTCCGTTGCTCGTCGATGACTCCCCGTCGTTGTCGCCGTCGCTCGACTCGTCGCACGTTAAATCGTTTACATGCGGTTCGGTTTTACGGAAACAAGCGCGCACTTGCAGCGAGAAGCACGACTGCGAGAGCCTAACTGCGTCAGTTGAAATTTTCGTATGTCGCAATGGTGTTGACTGCCCTTTATTAGCGACAAAAACGAATGTATGTGATGAACTTACATGGTCTCTGAAGCTTAGGCTATAATCTTGTGTCGTTGATCCGTTCGCTGTCCGATTCCATTCCATAAATAAGAAAATACAAGAGCTATGTTGAAATATAGATATGAAATGATTGAATGAAAGCCCGAAATATCAAAACGACCTAAAGAAAACACAAGATTTCAACCCGAAACGTAAAAGAACACGAAAACAAAGCTCCGGTGGTATCCGGTGCAGCACACAACGCGGAGCAACGGGGAGAAACTGAAGGTCGGCTATGGCGGCAGGGTCACGTGACGTCCAGATGGCGGTGCCCATGAAAGGTTGCCCTGAAAGGGTCTATATTATTTTTCTCCGATTCCGACAGACTTGTGTCAAATGAGGACTTTCATTTCTCGCAATGGAGTATGAACTACCAAAACGTGATGTACCTAAAATGTAATGAAAAAACTTCAATTCCCTAAAAACCATTTGTTGTAGTTATTATAGCATAAAATATTCGCGGAATCTGATAAGGCTCCAGAGAAGGCAGTATGAGTGCATTGCTCATTTGCATGCGTGGTGCTGATATTCGCAAAAAATGTTCCCTTAGTGGTCCAAAAATATCTATCGTTTGAAATCTTGGAAGAACCTATTATATATATTTACATCTAGAATACTGCTTGAGGTCGCCTATGTGTTTCTAGTGACACGCGGAAGGGTAGCGACAAGACACGTCTATTACCGAAAGTGACCTGTGACATTGGACCTTTGACCTGCGAGGCGCATCCGTCCGCGGACCAAGAAACACATGTTACTACGACCAAACTGCAGTTTTCACTGGCGGCTCGCCTCTGTCCTATTATCCATTATAGACGCTTTCGAATCATTCTCGCGTCTTAAGTCGGACCTGTCTTGTTTTTTTATAACCTCTAAATTATGGTAGACGCTAATTTAAGATAATTTTAGATCAATGTGCTTTATTAACGTCAAATAAAAACAATTGCAATATGTCTTTTACCGTATTTGAAATCCATGACGACTGAAACACGGCCATTTATTCCTGTAGCTTTATTCAAAATAGGTCCTTTCTTGTCTTCTTCAGATGGCCTCATGTCAACTCTCACAAGTGTGAGGTTGTCCGAATACCAAAACTGAAAGAAAAAGGCAACCGCCAGGCCTCAAAATGAAATAAAAATCATAAAAATTACGAGGATGTTTTTTGTGGTTATCAACAAAATTTTATAAAACACTTGCGTAAGTTTTGGTTGATTTTCACCCCTGGTTAAAGGGTGCGTCGGTAAATATTTAATTATAATCGTTATTGTATTACAGTTACATTTGTACATTTGTACGAAATCGTGTTTCTAGATTCAGGTGTAATAACTATCCGAAAAACGTAAAAAAGAATTTGAACTGGTTTTAAGCACCTATAGAGCCAGCTGCTTAAACGCAGACTGGTTAATACAAAGAATTTAAAAGAAGAGAGGGGCCACATGTTACAAAAGAGCTGTATTTTGCCCCGAAAATATCAAATAAAAGTGTTTTTTCATTGTTTTGATTTCGAGCTGCTGTTTGTGTGCTAATATAGGGGGCCAGAAACCGTCATGCTGTTCCACAGATATTTTCCCGTTCTCCCCTTTTATGAACTGATGCGAAATAAAGTTATTGTATTGTATTTATTGCAACTATAAACCTTGTTTAGATTTTCCCCATTGGAAGCAGCACGACAAGAACCTAGAAAAAGCTGATATACCAATTAGACTACTGGGTAGCTAAACTCGTGGAGCAAAACATTCTTCGCTTTTTGACGTAGCGGGGGGAGTGACCAAAAGAACGCCGCAAAGTTTCCTCCTCCCTGCGCGCGCTCAACTTCACAACTTTTGACGAAAAATCCCCCGCGATCCCTAGGCGATGCACGAGAGCACGAGACAGCGCGGGGAGGCGAGCGTTCACGCCGCTCGCTGTACGTCGTCTTTGGGCTCTCTAGCGCCGACAATCCCGTCATGCCTCGCCCAGGCGAGGAGCGAGAGCAGACGACGAGAGTTCGTCTGCTACGATGAGGCATTCGCACAGCGGAACTGAAAGAAAAAGTTGGTTTTCTGCTCGAAATCGCGTCCCGCGGGCCACAAACTCAAACGCGAGCTTGAATTGTAAGCGTCTGATATTTCACGAAGGGAGGAATCGACGGCCCGTCTTTTATTCGCGAAATTTGAGTCGTATTGTAGCCGTACAGACGCTGAAACCTACCAGTGTGCAATGAAAGCCCCAGAACAACCACAGGGGCCACGAGATCTAGCATCATTTGTGTATGGGTGAAAAGTGCAACATTTTTCGACATAGCTGCCACAGCAGAAACCTGCGACGCATTTACTCAGCGTCTGGGAAGGCTAAACATGGAGACGTTGCCCGAGACTCAAGCAAAGTCATATATGAATGGCAGCTATCTCGCCCCGTCATATTTTGTTTTGAGAAAGCTCTCGTTCTCAATGCCAGGGAAATAAAAAGTCTTACGAAACGTATTGCTAGCTGTTCCAAAGAACTAGATTTAAGCCGTATCCTTTCAGTTATTCACTCATAATATTATGCTTAAAACGAAGCAAGCTCTTGCGCGTACAGTGCCATCAATTTCCTCAAGCGTATGCTGTTTTGTAGTCAACTGGTTTCGGAAACTTACGCCGTCTGTAAATATCTCTGACTGCCGAGTTGCTTAAGTGGAAGTCATCGCAAATGTAAGTTCCACGTTGCAGCAACCAACGTTTAAACGATGACAGCGACTGCACTCTCGCATTCCCACCCATCACGTCGAACAAAAAGGCGCTAGTTTCGGTTTGAGGTCGGTACTTTTCTACAACATCTATGGCGACAGCATCAGTCTGCACTGGGTGCATTTGGCAAGTTCGTTCGGGGCCTGTTCTCCGTGCAGCACTCGGTGGGTGTAATGCATTAGAACTCTCACAGTGCAAGTCTGTATCGCGAATTGGGAGCCCGTCACTGGCCTCACCGGCGGCCATTACTTGACGACAGGCAATATGCCGCGTCCTGTCTAGTTCTCCCTTCATTTTCGTCCTTGTTGCTTTAGCCTTTTACACCATGAGGCAATTCACGCAAGTCTAAGGAAGAAACATGCAAAAATTGGAAGCTTGTACGCGGTGCTCGAGGGCGAGCATTTTATGATGTGCTGCGATGATTATGTCGGGTTCTTGGAGATCAAATAGACATTCGTCAAGCGTTTGAACATCGATTTAAAAAAAAATTGGCCGGAGCACGATTGACTTTACCGACGTCGCTTGCTTCGGTTGCTAAATAAATGGCACGTCGAGCGACTGAACGGCACGCTCCGAGTTTCAGTTTGTCACGGAAGCCCTCACAGGAGTTCAAAGAAAAAGCTTTCACCATGAAGCACTATGTACAAGCGGTCAAAACGATGCGAAAATCCCTAGTAAAGGCATTCTAAATTATCGTTTGCTGAGCTTTGATGACTCCGAAATCACGGATGACTCCACAATAACTCTCGGTAGCCCTTGTCTCATTAAACACATGACAGTTAACGCCCAACAAAGTAGCCCTGGATTCTCAACAACACAACATTTAGTTAAACAAGATTGGTATTCTAACGCGTTTAATATTCTTGCCCACAATATTAACTGTTATTTGCGGAAACATGATAGAAGTTTCATGGTAGAGAACAATTTACTAACGTAATAAAATTGAGTTGTGTCAAGCGACGACTGCCGGTGGTGCCGCTCGACCCCAGCAATACAGGCCTCTATCCACGATCTAGCCTCCTAAGAAATCAGTGGTGCCAGTGCTATTAGACATAAATCGTTTATTTGCATCGGTACTCCCATACCTGCCGGATGTAGGGACGAGGCGCAAAACCGTACATCCGGCCAATATTGAAGCCGGTTTTTGGACGATATTAGGGAGTTTTCGTAGATCGTTTTCGCCGTCCCGCAAGGGCCCTCCGCAACCGGCTACGATAGCGGGAACTCCACAGTCAAGGCTATCGGCGCGCAGGCGCAGTAGCAACTTCTTCGTTGCGGAACGCTTAGCGGAGGGGGCAGACCGGTCTACGAAAATTCCCTATTGCCTCGACACTCGCCAAGAAGCAACGTGCTGTTTCGGCGACTAGTTTGTGTAAATTATTTGTTCAGTCATATTAATGGGTCCCGGGCCACTGTGTACACCCCAAAAAAGAACTGTACTGTGGTAATTACACCTTGAGGAGAAGCAGGCACGTAGCCAGATTTTCGTTTAAAGGGGGGGGGGGGAAGGGGGGGGGCGCCGATGACAAAGTGCTCTATGAGGGGGAGGGAGGAGAGGAGGCCCCAGCAAAATGGAAAATTTCGGGGGGGGGGGGGGGGGGGGGCGGGAAGGCCAGGCTTTATGCCCCCCCCCCTCCCTTTGGCTACGTGCCTGACGAGAAGGGGTATTGTAGTTTTACATCTTTATAAAAAGGTGTAGGCATTATCATACGTTTTAAGAAACGTGTTTAAAAAATCACCCATTTTTAAAGGTGTGAAGTTTACATTTTTTTATAAGGTCCATCGCTACACTTATTAGGGTGTTAGTTATGGGACACCCCACTTACATGTTTAAAGGTGGGAAAATGCTTAATGTGTATATACCTATAACGGAAGACAATCTCTTTCATGTGATTACATCGCGTGCCGATGAAACGATCTGTCGATGACACGTCGTTCGATGAACTGATTTGACCGCCAATGAGTGACGACTGCCAGTAGAATTTCGGGGAAATAATTCTGCCGGCTGCCGGGAGACTCAACCCTACCCAAGAATTACCCCGGTTCTTGTTTGTTTTACAACATTCTGAATTGTATATCAACTTATTAGTACCTCTTCGGATATTACAGAAAAAAATAAATAAAAAAAAGCGATGGCAGCCGAAAAAACTCTGACAGCCCGGTTCACAGTCATGTGGGAGACTGACAGGTGCTCGTCACTCGCCACCATGCCTTGAAAGTAACCGGTTCCGAAGAACCGGAGCGCGCAGAGAACTTGTTGTTCCACGGTCTGAGGCGGTGAACGAAGCTCGTCGCAGAGTCAACGCACAACGGCTTTCGATAGCCGGTACTGTCGCCGAAAGTCGTCGTCGGGGAGTTGAAAGGCGTCCCCAGTGGTCTCAGTAGCGACGCCGACGGGGGCGGAAGATAAGCTCGGCCGCAGCGTACCGCACCGCCATGTTGACAAAGTTTAATTTCGCCTCGATCCGAAGCGAAGATCTCGAGCTCAAACCACGGCTCTCGCAAAGTTCGGAAACGTCACTTTGACGTCAGCGACAACTTCGACAAACGAGGTTTCTTTTTAACACAAACTTCGGAGGGATTTTGAGCGTCAGCAGGTCACCTAGGGACAATTTGCAAAGCATTAATTTTAGCTTGGCGTAGGGATGTAGGGACAAACGGGCGCTACGTCATCGGCGAAGCCGTTCAATCAGCGGGCTCCTCGCGCCCCTCACGCGCCGCACGCGCGCCTCGATGAACTTTGCTTTGAATGATTGACACCTCGCTCGGCGCGACGTCAGCGTCGCGAGAGTCCAATTAGCGCGTTCCGCAACTTTGGGACACAAAGTTGTGCTCGACGAGTTTAGCTACCCTGATGTACCAACTAGACTACGGATGGGTTACCTGATTTGAAGATGGGCTTAACCATAGCCTCCGTTATACTCACAAAGCCTGGCAGTTCGACGACGGAGCTATAGAGTGCCCGGTTGCAGATTTGGAGTGCGATGACCTGGTAGCACAGAGCATCAAAGGGCCATTTCTTGGGGAACCTTGACGTCAGCACACAGTTTTTGCAGCGGCAAGGACCCGAAACATACTTGTTCGATCGCGCTAAGTGTGCTTCGGAGTCTCGCCGCAGCGGGGCGCCAGTCATTTGGCTCTCCTCTTATTCGTTGTTTTCCGCTCCACCTTTCAAATTTCGGCGGCCGCTTCTCGTGGCGATCTTCCAGGCTTTGTCAGTATACAGGAAGCTTTGGTTTTGGCGGAACGCACAGGAAGTGGGACGCTTCCCGAATGAAGGCTTTCTTTAAATAGTTAAGAAAAAAAAAAATGGGTGACAGAAAAGATTTTATTAACGTCAGAAACGTTTCTGATAAGCGATCTTCTCTCAGAGCGCTGTTAGAAGA